GAGACAGACAGACAAAGAGAGAGAGAGAGAGAGATTCCGGCCCCTTCACGCGCTCGAAAAGCCACAACTTAAAAGAGCGGATTATTCTTTCACTTCTCTCATGACTGTTGACAGGTTAAGAATCCCAGCTTTTGTTATGTTGACCTCCGCGCGAATGGAACTCTCACTATAAGCTCCAGCTACAGCCGCCCAACAATGAACTGGCAAGGCAGGGATTTTCATTGGCGTTAGCACGCACGAAAATGCCATCCTGTTCACACAAAGTTCCCGGAGATTATCCGGTGCGGCACCGCTCAACACGGGGGCGTCACGAGGAACACGGAAGCCAGACCCACTGGAGCTCACCGTGACACGTGTGTAACGGTCTTGCGAACCACTGGATTCCGCCTTTCCACCTGGAATTCTGGCTCACCATTTCTATCTAATTCGTCACGTGTTTAGAAGGCTGTCCAGTCGTTCAGACAGTTTCCGGGTCCTCCTGTCTCACGTCTGGAGGGCCGACTTCTTCATGGAATATTCAGTCTCCCGTGTCAAAATTGTTATCGGTCGTATGTACATTTCTCGCATATACATACATATTCAATTCATTTCTAAAAATACAAAAAAGTGTCAAATTCGTTTGCCATATTGGTGAAAATGCAAAAGGAATCCCCACCTCGTGCTTAAAGAGTTTTGGGCAACTAATTTTTTGAGGAGATGAACTTAAAGAGTTTTGGGCAACTAATTTTGATCAAATCAGTATTTATATTCCCAAAGGTAATAGTTAAATTAAATGATATGTTCCTCTAAAACTATATGTAACTAGGTGAAGGAAAAATCTATTTAAAAGTTCTATGTTATTGGTGAAAAAGTGATAAGAGATCTACTCTTACAAATAGTCTTTCATGTGTGTGTTGAAACATGCATCTTGTCTTTTGATAAACAGATCACTTGTACCTACACAGGAAATCAACTTAAAACTAAAATATCATTAAATTTTCTAAAAATCCTAATTCCATGCCACCCCTCCTCTTAGTATTTCATCTAGCCATAAAACATTAACAAGTTCAAGAAAATGAACATGTCTCCAAGATGCTGTGATAACTTGTGTCCTCCACTTGTTTATCCATATCAGTCTTGTTTGTTCTTGATGTGGATGTAGGTGTTCTTTCTCCAAATCAAAGAAATTTTATCGCTATTTGAGTTTTGTAATTTTTTTTGGTCATTGGTATATCCATATATTTAATGTACAAGATCCAATTTTAATTTCTTGAATTTCATTTGTGCGAAAAAACTTTTAGAGCCCTTCATCATAACAGCCTTTAAGACCTTAAAAGTTACTATCACAGCCCTCAAAGTTCAAGGAAAACAACTGAAGGATCTTTAAAATCATCAAAAATTATTTTCATCAATAGAGATGAATTAGTTGTCTATGATGCAAAATCATCCTCGTGCTTTCAAAATTTCTTGTTCTTTGTTGCTTGATTTGTTTATAGCAAATGAATTCGTGTTTATAACTAAAAGACAGCTAATCCGCATCAAGGTTCCTAAATTTTCTTAAATAATCAGAGAGAGAAAGGTAGTTGGAAGAAGAAAATATGAATTTGACAAGGAAATTCCATAAGTTTAATACCAATTACAAACTCAAATCTAGATTTGTGCTCCTTCACTCTAACACCAGCATATTCGTATACAAATTGACCTTCTGGTGATAGAGCCAAAGAAGATGACCTTGTGATGCTGGTGCCTCCACCACCAAGTTCCATCCTACCTCCTCCAGTCACCCTCAATCCTGATTTCCAAGTAAATGGAGAGCTGTTGATAGGATGCCATATGGAGACATGAAGCTGTGGCCATTGTGCACAGATGGGAATCTCCATATCCCTGACAATAGGCTGCCAATTATAGGCTGAGAAATAAACCTTGGGCCCACAGAACATGTGCTCATTAACTACCACAACATGGACCCTGTGCTTCCATCAATTGCTTTGGTGTTGACTACGCTTAATAGACTAGTGCAAGATAATACATATACTATCATAACATCCCTAGTATAGTGCCTTTTAGGGTACAAGACCCTAGAGTAAACTTTGTCTATGTGCCATTTTTTATCATGTATATATTGACATTTTCAAGTCATATATATGCTGATATTTGTTGTCATGTTAATCCTAACTACATGCTAACAAAAGTAGTGATATGTCATATCGGTTGGCATGCCATTCCTTCACTTAATATCTTTCTTCTGTGCTGCTGAGCGCAGGGCTTGGTTTGGATGGGCTAAATGGACGAAATACATCTTTCTCCCCTGAAAGAGAATAGTATATTGACGTATAATAGAGAAATAATTTGAAATGTGTGGCATTTGTATCAGGTAAGTAGTAAGATACTTTTTCATGGGTTGAGATAGATGGAGTTGATTCCGAAGATCTCCAGTGTTGGTCGGATCCAGTGCGTAATACTATAAGAGTGGATACTCTATAATGTCCCGAGGTCAACAGTCACGCCAAAGAGTAGGTAAGTGGTCCAGTTTATGGAAGGTGAGAGTCCCATTCCGTACGTTACATGTAAAACTTAAAGCTCATTGTTCACACCGATTCTTCTATCCAGTCAAGTCGGGACCGTATACACCGAATCCATGATGCATCTTGAAGCCCGATATAAATTTAATGGGGTATATCTAGGGAGACAAATTTACCTCCCATGTGGATGGATATGATAACACCTGTCTCGCTCTACGATATATAGATATGTATATAATATTTACGGGCGTTGATTCAAGCTCGTTTTTCACCTTATTTTTGGTGGGACCCGAGTCCGGATATCATAAACTATATTCCAGCTGAAGGTGGGGCCTGCGAGTCGGCAAATAACCACGTCTGGCCGCAGGGTCTTCGGCTGGTCGATGAAGGTGGTTGCGGCTTTACTGGCGTGGTCGATGAAGGTACTGACGGGACCCGGAGCAAGCACTCTCCACGTTCCAGTTTGCCCCGCCCTCCCCCTTCCGGTTCTCTGATACGCTCCCCGCTCCTTCACGCGCTCGAAAAGCCACAACTTAAAAGAGCGGATTATTCTTTCACTTCTTTCATGATCGTTGACAGGTTTAGCATCCGGCTATGTTATGTTGACCTCCGCTCGAATGGAACTCTCACTATGAGCTCCAGCTGCAGCCGCCCAACAATGAACTGGGAAGGCAAGGTTTTTCAATGGCGTTAGGATGCAAGAAAATGGCATCTTGTTCACACAGATCCCTGAGATTATCCGGGGCGGCCCCGCTCAACAGCGGAGGCGTCATGAGGAAAACGGAAGCCAGAGCCACTGGAGCTCACCGTGACACGTCTTGCGAACCAATGAATTCCGCGTATCCAGCTGGAATTCTGGCCCACCATATCACCACGTGTTAATTGGGCTGTCCATTTGGGGATCCTCTTCTCTCACGTCGGGAAGATATACTTATTTATGGAATATTCGTCCTCCAATTAGCAAATTTCTTATCCGTCGTATGTACGTTTGTCGCATATGTATTCAATTAATTAATAAATACAAGTAAAGGCCAATATCAAAGGGGAGCCCCACCGCGTGGCGTGCCTCTTCCACTATCCCGATTTGATTGGTTCCAAAGGTGGCATATCACGTGGCGTCCGCCTTGCACTACCTCGACTTTTTACGGGTTCCAAGTTATGCCAATGTTTGTGAAAATGCCAAGGGGGAGCCCATCACGTGCCACAAGGTGGTGGGGGTCTTTGGCCACATGCAAATATGACCACTACAGCGACGGTGAGTCAATGCAGCACGCACATTCACCAGTAAGTTCGGTTATGCAATCAGATCATTAAGATATTTATTAGTTTACATTCACGTACAATCATCAAATGATTAATAAATTTCATCTTAATTATGGACTTTTAATCCCTCTAATTTGAGCTAGACACAATTCTCATTTTGCTAATCATCATGGTACATTCTAACTAAACATTGTTTAAAAATTACTAACTACAAGTCCTTTCTCTCTATATATATGTATATGTAGGTAAATATTACATGTTGTCATTAGAAAAGGATTGACATAAGAGTGAATACTTATACAAAAATTGGAAAAGTATTTTTGGGTTCGTTAACTAGAGGACTAAGGTTTTCATTGATAAGAAGATTTATGGCACTGTAAGTTGGAACTATTTTCATGATGGATTGAAACTACACACCCTTGAAGATTTTTTTAGCTAATAATTTAATTAAAGGAATGAGATATCCACGTGAACAACAAGAACATGTCTGGTCCATAATAGAAGATTACTATAGGGTAAAACTTGGTTCATCATAAGCAATAAAATGTTTTATTGACGTACATTGGCCATATTTTGCTCATTGTGAATATAAATATTAAAATAAAAAAGGTATTCAAAACGAATTAATATAAACAAATATTTCATATCTAAATTAAAGGAATAAGACAGAAGGAAATAAGTTATATTATAAAATTTAATGAATCATTTTGATTATCTATCGTAACGTAAGAGTATCAACTCGTCATTGGTTCTAAACGAGTCCTTTCATAATCTTCTCGTATTAATATCAACTTCGTCAATAGCCTTCAGTAAAACATACACATAGAATTCACTCCGTTGATATATTTGACAGCAATCAGTTCGGCTCCTCGTCAGGCACTCGTAGAGTATTAGCAAAAACACTGATGGCGACCAGGACTGCTGGCAGCACCTCGACCACGAACGAAATCCGTAGCGCCTGTATATGACGTTGACTGTCTGTCATATGCAGTGCACCGACCCCTGCTGTATTTCCCCTCGTAGACGCGGTCCGTTGTTGTATGCCAAGGCTGTTTCCACACACCCACTCCGCCAAGCCTATTTAAGCTCCCTGCCACCACCTAATGTGCACCAACAAGGTCTAACCCTTCCCCACTCCTTCCCACCACCAGAGAAGAGAGCCTCTCCGTCCTCCTCCCAAGTCCGCTCCCATAAGATCAGGTTACTGCCACTCGCTCGCAAAGAGGAGACTCTAGAATGGGCAGCCTCCAGACCGAAAACCCAGAATTCGCCGCCGCCGTCGCGACGAACACCGACGGCTTCGCCACAAACCCACTCGATCACGAGGAGTTTAGACGACAGGGACATATGGTGGTTGACTACATCGCCGACTACTACCGTGACGTTCACAAGTATCCAGTCCGCAGCCAGGTGGAGCCCGGCTACCTCCGCCGCCGTCTCCCCGATGCAGCCCCGAACGGCCCCGAGCCGATAGAAGCCATCCTCGGCGATATCACCCATGATATCCTCCCCGGTATAACCCACTGGCAGAGCCCCAACTACTACGCCTACTTCCCCTCCAGCGGCAGCACCGCCGGATTCCTCGGGGAGATGCTCAGCACCGGTCTGAACGTCGTGGGTTTCAACTGGATGTCCTCCCCCGCCGCCACCGAGCTCGAGACCATCGTCATGGACTGGCTCGCCAAGATGCTCAGGCTCCCGGAGGCCTTCCTGTTCTCCGGCGGCGGCGGCGGGGTCCTCCAGGGCACCACCTGCGAGGGCTTGCTCTGCACCTTGACCGCCGCCCGCGATCGGGTCCTGAAGAAGATCGGCCGCGAGCATATCGGCAAGCTCGTCGTCTACGGCTCCGACCAGACCCATTGCGCGCTCCAGAAGGCGGCGCAGATCGCCGGCATCCACCCCGAAAACTTCCGCGCCGTCGGCACCACACGAAAGGACGCCTTCGCGCTCAACCCGGCTTCCCTCCGCGCGGCAGTGGCGGCGGACGTGGCCCGCGGCCTCGTGCCGCTCTTCCTCTGCGCCACCGTCGGCACCACCTCCTCCACCGCCGTCGACCCGGTGGCGGGGCTCTGCGAGGTGGCCAAGGAGAACAACATGTGGGTGCACGTCGACGCAGCCTACGCCGGCGGCGCGTGCATCTTGCCCGAGGTCCGGCACGTCATCGACGGCGTAGAGAACGCCGACTCCTTCAGCTTCAACGCCCACAAGTGGTTCTTCACCAACCTCGACTGCTGCTGCATGTGGGTCAAGGACCCGGCGGCACTGGTGGCGGCGCTTTCCACCAATCCCGAGTACCTCCGCAACAAGGCCACCGAGTCGAAGCAGGTGGTGGACTACAAGGACTGGCAGATCGCCCTCAGCCGGCGGTTCCGAGCCCTGAAGCTCTGGATGGTCCTGCGGAGCTACGGCGTCTCCAACCTGCGCAACTTCCTGCGCAGCCACGTCGCCATGGCCAAGCACTTCGAGAGCCTCGTGACCGCAGACGAGAGGTTCGAAGTGGTCGTCCCCCGGACCTTCGCCATGGTCTGCTTCCGACTCCTTCCGCCGGCGCAGGCGGGGAGAGAGACTGCCAACGAGCTCAACCGGAGGTTGCTCGAGGCGGTCAACTCGTCGGGAAAAGCCTACATGACCCACGCGGTAGTTGATGGCGTATACATGATCCGCTTCGCCGTGGGCGCGACGCTGACGGCCGAGCACCACGTGGTGGAGTCATGGCGGGTGATCCAAGAGCATGCCTCCGAGATTCTCGCGGCATGGTCGTAGGGGGACCGAATTCTAACCTGTTGCGGCGTCGGCGGCCCGCCAGAAGAGAGACAAGGAACGGATTTATTTATTTTTATTATTTTCCTACCTACCGATGGGATAGTATTTGTACCATGGATCGCTCTTTCCCCGCTATCTGCAATAAAACTGGTACTTTGTGTATGCGGAAATATCGTGGAGAATAGACGAGTCAGTTCTTCTAGATGCGGGGTTTAGATCACACATGCTAGAATTATATTCGAGATCACCACACTTGTAAGTAGTCTCTGCTAACGATTAAATGGAAGAAGGAAGAATGGATGACGCATTTGATGGATAGTCAACACTAACCCGCACATATTTTGGTGGATAGAAGAATGGGCGTTGGTAGGTGTGGCATCCAAGAAAATCAACGGATATATAATTGGGTATAGAGTCACCCTTATTAAAATGACTTTAGTTGTGACATTATATGCTTGGAGTCATGTTTTTCTTTTTAAATAAAAAATTATGAACTTATATAAGCATCATCAAGTGAAAGATATGTATGAATTAATAAACACAAAAAATCTCATTAGTTTCTAGCTAATATTTAGAAAATCAATTTTTAAATATTATTACCAAGAAGAAAGAGTGTTAGTGAACTCAGACTTTATGATTTCATTGTAGTACGTTAGTCATTTTTTCTATAATGCAATCAAAAGTTTCTTAATTTTAATTTTATGGAAAATTAAGCATATTATCGAAGATAAAACCAAGACTTTTTACTAAATTACGAGAATGAGGGCTTGTAGAGAGTATTGATTTTTGAAATATCCGTAGTTATGTGGGCGGCTACTGTTGACTATTAAAAATAAGGTGGTGCTTTTCCCTGAACCTCACTCCATCTAGGTCAAAGTCGTCAACACCGACAACGTAACCACACACCACCTCCTCTCGTCCTCCGCTCGTGTTGGCATGCGCTGCTTTTGAGAAGAAAAGAAACTAGTATTTTCTTTGAAAGGAAATTTCAATGAGTAACGTTCCTATAAAGTACTTACTGGATGCGGATCTATCTGGAGGGCGTGGAGGTGTCAAATCAGATCTGTATGCGAATCACGTGCGTTTTAATAGTATAGCAATGATTGACGCGACGCGGCAAAATATCCGGTGGAAGATGTCGACGCGGCCATCGTTATCAGATCTGAACCACAGTTGTCAGTAGCTAGTGGCTTCTCCCCCGGCCACGAGCTCTTCTCGTGTCCGTCGCCGCATCACCTCGGAGATTTTGACGGCACCATGGACACTACCGCCTAACCATGGCATTAGGGTTTTCCGGTGGCTCGGACGGTCCTTTGGCGTAGAGGCGCAGGACAGAACAGACATCGATTCAGCCGCCTGCATCCATACGTACTCTTAGAGAGATGGACGGTGCTACGCGAAGCATGAGAGAGAGAGATGTCTTTGGTTGAGTGAGTTGACTTCCTTTCTTGGATAGTAGACGCTGGAACAGTACAACTTTCACATAAGCTGTTGACCTTGATATTATAACAATGCTATAGACAAATGGCCAGCTGCATCTTGAAGCTAATATCAAAAGTTGAGGTCCACTAATACGTAACTTTGTTGATGTTAACTTAACTATTGTATAATAAAATTTTATAAAACTAGAAAATACTATTTTTTGAATTTTTATAAATATTTTTTAAAAATAAATTATTTAAAAAATATTGAGAAAATTTCAAGTCAATAATAAAAATATAAGATAATATCTGATAATATTTTAGAATTTTTATCAAAAGATATAACTTTTATGATTTTATCAAAAAAATTCAAGTGAGAACATCAAGATGATGTTAGCACATTGACGAATTAGGCTGAAATAGAGTCATATCTAATGATTCTTATGTAAATAATTACAAATGATTTAAGTGATTGAAGTAAGATCTATTAAAATTAGAATAGTAATTAAATAAATAAAGTTTTAAAAACTTTAAATCACAAAAATCGCACTAAAATAAATAAAAATTAAATTTTAAATAAGAAAGGTAGGGTTTTGACTTTGTAGTGGTGATTGTCAAAATTTTATATTCTGAATGATATTTTCTAATATCTATAACCTCAAAGACTTTTACTAGACATAGATGATGTAGAAAATTTATAAATCTTCTTTCAAAGTATAAAAATTGATGAGGTAGGTTGACGAATCATCTCTAACAATTATCACTCAATGGAGTAAAAATACAGTGACTTTCGAATCTTTGATGACTATCACTCGACGAAGATAAATATGATGAACATAGGGTGCATCTTATGGAGCTTCATCCTTAAATTTATATAATAAGAGGAGGCTTTTTATCGCACATATTATGTTCTCAAGAGGTGATAACTCATCTCTCGACAAGTCATCCTCTTTTTGACGATGGCTAATTTGTTGATCAACTAAAGATCATTTTCTCTATGAATCTATATTTTTTTTATTCATAATTATTTGTCAATTAGTAATGATGTTCATTAAATCATATTGATGGCATTTTTATTAATGATTGAGTAATTATGATGACATAATCTTTGATTGATGTTTTGTAAGAAAATCACAATTTAATCAAATAAAAAGAAGAATTTTAACTTGGTGAGATTTGAACCCTCATTAGTCACTTGTCTGAATGAAAGAAAATAACATATGTATACTAATACTTTTTTCAAGTGATATCATAAGGTATCTACTCTTTATAATTCAAGGATATTTTAAGTGTTAAAATCATTGAAACTTGTTGGGAAGCAAGTGCATAGGTTTAGTCCTACATTAGTTATTTTATAAGTTTTGAGTCAAATATATATTAATATGTATTTCTCTAGTCAATATTATCTTCTCATATGTGTACGACCACTCTTTGCCTCATGCTTAGCTAACTATCGATGACATGGAGGGGAGTGACACATATGTTCCCCTTATTAATCATTTGCTCAAGCCCCCTACTCATGACTTTACTTGAATGTGCATCCAAACCACTTGTAGGTCCAATTGGTTAGTGGGTTTCCCAATTATGCCTCCAACCTATGTGCAGACTTGGCTGGCCAATGGATCTCCCTTTTTTCTAATTTCTTTTTTTATCTCAGAACACACTTATAAAAGATTATAAAATTATATAATTAGTTTAAAAAAATCACATTAATTGACTAAAAACCCTTTTTCTTAATTTGACATAAATATAAATTTATTTATTATGAGTTAAGATTTAAAATATATTATTAATAATTATTAACTCATGATAATGAAGACTTATTACTTACTAATGATTGTAAGTAACTTTGGTTTTCATAATTTATCCCACATCTTCATGATATACATTGTGTTTAAAGAAGAAAAAATGATCTTTCTCTTTAATATATTTTCATGTCATCAATTTTTAATATATATCTCACAAAATAATACATGTATATTGCCAAAATAATACATGTAAGGTAAGTTTCATAGTAGCTATTAGATGCTAAATATGTAGGTACTAGAGAAAAAAAATAAGTCTCAAGCTTGGGTATCAAACTAATGTGTAAGGAAAGAAAAGTTCATTAAATATACACCTTTCTAAAGAGGTCTGATCGTGAAGCATCAAAATCTGTTCTACATGAAATGATCCCATCTTGACAATTATAACAATAAATACCAAATTAGAAAGGTGTATAAACTCTTATCATTACTAACCAGCTATTTACTTAACTAGATAAGAAAACTTGCACATATCAAAGTAGTTACTGATCTTGAGCTTCTTACTCTCCATGTATGTTGCTTCCAATAGGGGATTATGTTGAAGAATGAGATATTACAATCATACCAAAATTTTATTTTTAATTATATATATACTTTTCCTTTTGTATTATTATCATGTTTCCATTCACAGTGTATCAAATCTTATTCGGCATAAGTAAAGCCTAATTAACCAGATCTAATACACTTGGTTAGGTTTAGCATAAATGATTATTCATTTTCTCATTTAATAAATATTATTTTCACCCTCTCTCTCTCTCTCTCTATAGACAATGGCTCTCTCTAATCTAGTAGTGCCTCTAGTGACCAATAAGCTTGAAAGGTCTCAACATGGTATCAAAGCCACTTAGGTGAGATCTTTCTAACACCTTGTGAATTCTTGGAGTTACCTTAGGCCATATTAAATAGTCTCACAACCAATTATGCATGAGTCAATGATAGTTATGATTAACCTAGTGGGGAGAAATCTTTTGTGGAGACGTCCATGTTGGATTGACGTCAAATATAGATGACAATTGTCAAAAGCCAGTGGCTTCGCCCCCAGTGGTGAGCTCTTCCCACATTTGCCGTTGCATCATTGTGGAGATTTTGGTGAGACACTGGACACTACCATGGTAGTAGGGTTTTCTAGGGGCCCGAGCAGCCCTTGGCTTAGATGCACAAGACAGAAGAGATGTTGATTCTGTGGCCATCATCCACACATACTCTTAGAGAGATGAATGTTGTTATGCAAAGTATGACATTGAGAGAGAGAGAGAGACAGAGAGAGACAAAGAGATAGAGAGATGCCCCTGGTTGAGTGAGTTGGTTCCCTGCTGGATAGGAACCATTGGAATAGTCTAAGCTTCACATGAGCTGTTCATCTTGATATTATAAAAATGAGGTTAAAAGCTTATCAATAATTGAAGAGCATTGAATTTTCTTGGTTGCATTCAGCTATTGAGAAATGGCCAGCTACATCTTAAAGTTAACATTGAGAGTTGAGGTCCACCAATACCTAACCTTACTAACAATTGCAAACAACTATGGTGTAAACTTTTTCCTAATTTATCCCACATATTCATGAAATCCACGATGTGTTTAAAGAAGAAAAATTGATATTTCTCTTTTATAAATTTTCATTACACTAATTTCCAATATACATCTTACAAAATAATACATGCAACATTGCCAAGTAATACCCATAAGGTAAGCCTCGCATTAGCTATTGAATTCCATAAACATAGGTATTAGGGGGGGAAAAAAACTCAAGCTTAGGTATTAAACTAACGTGTGA